AATCCTCTCATAGATACTTATGTTCCCAGTGCTTCCAGATTCTGGTATCTCCATGATCATAGGAGCTGGGGTGAAACTGTTATTCATACTACACTCAAAGAACACACCATGCTGCTGCTGCTGCTGCTGCTGCTGGTGCTGCTGCTGCTGCTGCTGCTGCGGCTGCTGCTGCTGCTGCTGCTGCGGCTGCTGCTGTGGCTGCTGATTGTTGGCTGTAGCTCGCTTGGCATTATTATTAGTGCTGGTTGCTGTGGAAGTGCCGTTATTAGAGTTGGCAGGCTGAGGCTGGCTTACACTGGGCTTTATCTGTTCTGGCACTAATCCCAACAAAAGAAAAGGGGTGGAAAACATTAGCCAGTAAAGGGTACCTCCAAAGTAAGCCATCTAAATTCAAAGGCACTAAGAAAAATAATCCTAAAAAAAAACAGAAGCTTTCCGTGAGCAGGGATATCCTCATTTACAGGCTCAAATTTTGTTAGGAGATATCACTGCCAAGAGTCAAATTTCACTTCTGCTAACTACCTATCCAATAAGGGCCCAAGGACTTTTGGCCAAGACAACAACTCATGTTCACTATCCCTTTTCCCACATTATACTCTGGTCAAAGACATCATCTGATCATTACAAAACCAGCGAACTTGCAATGACTCAAAGAACAAATGTGGCCAATTTTCAGTAGTACTAAGAGAATCCTCTATTCCCTGGCAACTGTTCTTATTCTGCCTCATTGTTAATGTGTTTGGTCTCTATTTTTCATCTTTAGAAGACAACACAAGAACAACACACGGTTAGAAAACAACCTGCTGGTTTTCTTACAAAAAGCCAAAGTTAACAATGTAAAAATGTAAAATCTGAATCGTATAAGACAAACTCAGAACATGGAAGTAAAGACAAAGATAACGTATGTATGAGATGAATCAAAATGAGAGAAATAATCTGGATGCTTTATCTTAAATCTGAAAAATAAATCAGAAACTGCAAATAGGGAAACTGTTGACTCATAAAAGAGTGTAAAGAAAGAAAACCGATGGAAATGCCTTAAGCCAGTGTAAGTAAACCCAGCTGGAGAAGTACAGAGACGCATGGTGTATGAGCTTTTGGTGCCAGGTTTCAACCCCAGCTCTGCCTTTACAAGCTTTGTGTCTTTGGGCAAGCTGTATAAACCTAACTGAGCCTGCTGTTTTCCCGGTAAAATGGAGATAGTACCTACACCTTGCAGAGCTATCCTAAGGTTAAATGTCTTCATGTTTATAAAACACAGAACACAAGGCTATATAAACAGCGGCTATTCGTTAATGACTGACACAATACCACCTTATACTTTGGTAGCAGTTGAATGTTTCTATGAAATTTTTTAATGTATCCTCACAGATACCACTGTCAGATAAGTGAAGTGAAACACCCCCATGTTACTGGTGAGGACACTTAAAAAAAATCTCCATTCAAGCTCCCACCCTGGAATTAAAACAGCCCACCATTCACCATCTGAGTTACCTCTGTGTCTTTTTCCTCTATAAAGTAGGAACAGTCTTGGTCAAGTGCCCAGGGTGTTGTAACCACTCAGTAAACAGAAGTGAAGTTATTAATTGTGTCCAAAAGAAATCTTTATCAAATGCCTACAATAGATATGATGATGTCATTAAACCCTTGGTCACCTGAGTTTACAATGACCACCAACTTCCTCTTCCACACTCTCAGCTCTAGCCCCCCTCCACCTAAGAAACTGGTCTCCCCATTTTCTTCTTTCTCTGAACACCTGGTAAATTTACTCTATGTCATTTATACTTTTTAAACATAATATATGATCTTGGCCTCTTATTTTTTGTGTGTCACTTCAATTCTTCTGAAGTAATACGAACTGTAGTTCAGGAAGAATTACAGTGAAAAATTACAAACATTCCATCTACTGTTTATAATGCTTCATTCTTGATGCTCACTGACAAGTCTCTTACTGATAATTGAGGCAAAGTGCTTTCTAGGCCTAATTATGGGTGAAAATTTTGTCTCCCAGACAACATAATGCTTCTAATATGTAACAATAACATTTTTTATTTATTCTGTGTGTGCCTCATGCAGTAATAAGCAGATACTGGCTATCAAAAACACTTCATGAGGACAATACAGCACTAGAATATTCTAAAGTACCTCTGAAACCTAAGGAAGATAAAGTACAGGCAGCCCTCCACATCCATGTGTGCCCCACCCACAGATTCAACCAACCATGGATCAAAAATACTAAGCAAACAAACTAAAAATAAAAATACAAATAAACACCAATGCAACTATTTACACAGCATTTACATTATATTTGGTATTGTAAGTAATCTAGAGATGATTCAAAGTATATAGGAGAATGTGTGTAGGTTATATGCAAATACTACACCATTTTATACACGGGACTTGAACATCCATGAATTTTGGTATCTGTTGGGGGTCCTGGAACCAATGGATCACAGATACCAAGGGACAACTGTACATGTAACATTGTAAGGAACATAAAAATGTTTACTTAGCTTTTACATGCTTAGTACTGGACTCAGCGTGGCATTTGGCAATTGAACACCAACTTAAGGTGGTAGCTACCTGCTGCTGTAATACAGGTTTGTTGCCACTTCATTACTTTAAAAATCTAAATATTAAAAAATAACATTGTGACAATTTTATGCCCAAACAAGGTGTGTGAGAAAGGAGCAGGAAGATGCTTTTTAATTATCAAAGAACCAGAAGATAACCTATATACAAAAACTGTGAATGATCTATATGAAGGCATGTATAAGAACCCTAACACTAAATCAAAGGTGACCAGAAGTTCAGAAGCAACATCAATATTTGTCACCCAGCAACTTCACCTCTACCTCAAACTCAAGTAACTGCTGTATTTCTCATCAGTAAAGTACCACGTGGAAAACAAAGCTGAGACAGGTATTCATTTCCGGGGCCAGAAAACTTCATTAAAACCACTGAAGACATCAAGATAATGTAACTATTGATTATTAAATGAAGCTAATCTGAAGTACAATCTTAGATATAAAATAAGACATAGAAGTAATGAGTGAAGGATTAAAAAGTGAACATAGGCGGGGGTTGCTAAGTAACAAATACCAACACTGACTAATACTGGCTATGGTGTAAATTATGTTCATAATCACCCAAACCATTGGAAGGGGGGGAAAAGGAAAATTAGAAAACTTCATCTATTCAGCAGACATGTAAAATGGAATTTTAAAAAATTTCAAAGTTCTGGTTAATGCAAACTAGGATGCTAAACAGAAGCCCCAAAATACCTGTATCACAATAAATGTGAATGGGTTAAGTTCACTTGCTAAAAGATAAAGCCTCTTAAACTAAGTTAAGAAAGGAAAAACAAACTCAATAAACTTTGCAAAAAGCACTCTTAAACAAAACAACTCAGCAAGGTTTAAAAAAACAGTAGAGAAGATACACAACCAAGAAAGGCTAAGAAAATTAAAATGAAAACAATACTGATATCAGACAAAATAAAATTCAAAGAGAAAAGCATTATAAAGGATAAGATAAATTTCATATTCATAATAAAAGAAAAAACTAAAGACATGAGCAATTAAGCACTTTTATATGCCAAGTCTCATAATATCAAAACATGTAAAATAAATGGAGACAGAATAAACCAGAAAAAAGCAAAGCCATGTACCTTGAAAACAAGAAACATCTTTTTGACAAATACCCATGAAACAATCATAAGAAGTTAACATGCACATACATGCCATACAGCAGCAAAGAAAACATCAATAAATTGCAAAGGCTAGAAATAATACAGTGGATATTTCTGGATTACAATGTAATGTCACTAAAATCATAAAACTAGCAAATAAAAATCTGCCTTAAATTTCAATTGCATAACACAAAATTTTCAGCTAAAAACAGAAAAGAAAAAGAAAAAAGTACATTTCAAGATGAAGAATAAACACGAAACTACAGGGTTACCAAGAAAATAATACTGAAAACACTGCATACAATACATTTTGAGATCCAGCTAAACCAGAGCTCAAAAAAAAATTCACAGCCTTATTTCCAACAAGAACATAATGCATCCAACTCAAGAAGGGGGAAAACACCCACACACACTAAAGTAAACAGAAACAATTAGTAAACATAAAAGAGAGATCAATGACTTTAAAAGTAAATCAATAAATCCAAGGCATGCTATGAAAAATAGTTAACTTTATTAAAAAATGAAAATGGAAAAAAATAACCTTCTGAAATTAATATATTTCTTTATGTTCAAGTCTATAAATATGAAAAGCTGGAGGAGGGAGTAATTTAACATTGACCATAGAAGAGGCAGGAAATCTAAATAGGTTAACTAGTTTACATAGAAGAAATAAGAGAAATTTATGAAAGTGTCTATCATGATCAGATAATTTCCCTGATTAATACTACCATACTTTTTTCTTTTTCACTAGTGTATACTTATTTTTGGAGACAAGAGTCTCGCTCTGTTGCCCAGGCTGGAATGCTGTGGTGCAATCTTGGCTTACTGCAACTTCCACCTCCCTGGTTCAAGTGATTCTCATGCCTCAGCCTGAGGAGTAGCTGGGATTACAGGTGTGTGCCACCACGCCCAGCTAATTTTTGTATTTTTAGTAGAGATGGGGTTTTGCCATGTTGGCCAGGCTGGTCTCGAACTCCTGATCTCAGGTGATCCTCTTGCCTCAGCCTCCCAAAGTGCTGGGAGCCACTGCACCCAGCCTTTAATAGTTTTTTTTTTTTTTTTTTTTTTTTTTTTTTTTTAAAGACAGGATTTTGCACTTCTTGCCCAGGCTGCAGTGCAATGGTGTGATCTTGGCTCACTGCAACCTCCGACTCCAGAGTCTTGCAACAGTAAGACCCTCTTTCAAGAAAAGAAAAAAGAAAAAGAAACATGTATCTCTAAACCTAATGGCATTTAAATTACTGCAGAGCACAGTAAAAGATGGAACACCAACATAACACTGTTACCAATAAGTCAGGCTAAATTTTGGTCATCCCAAACAACGTGAATAAAAACAAGAGGTATAAATAGCACCGGGAGCGAAAAAGACACAAATTCAAATGTGGAGATTATCAAAAGACAAGAAAATACTATGTACAATCTATCCCAGTAAAACAAAATCCAACTAAATTGAACTATGTTGTACAACAGGGGTTGGCAAGTTCTTTCTGTAAAGATGAGACAGTAAATATTTTGGCCTTTGCAGGCCATAGAGTCTGTGACAACCACTCAACTCTGCCACTGTAGCACCAGAGCAGCCACAGACAACAGGTAAACGCAAACAAATGAATGTGACTATATTCCATAACACTGCATATGCAAAACCAGGCAATGGGCCAGATTTCACCTGCAGACTGTAGTTTTCCAAACTCTG